ACGAATGCGGTAACCTTTTTACCATTTTTGATCAATTGAACACGAACACATTTTCGAATAGCAGAATTCGGTTGCTTTGCTTCTACACCACTGCAAGACAAAGAGTAGGAGTAATGTTAATGTGCGTAAGGATCCAAAATTTTGTTTTATAAATAGGTCGATTAAATACATTTTCTCGAGAACGATTCCCTTAGCGTGTGAGGATCCACCGAATGGAGAAGATTTATAGGCAGTACCCAAGGCTCTTTTCTTATAAGCCTTATCTGCCCACCGTTCTTCACGGCGATGTGTGCGTAATTTACGTGCACTTTGCAAACCTCTGGGTTTTCCTTTGCCTATTATAATATCGAAAAAAAAAAATCATTAGCATCAGCAAAAACCTCTTTCAGACGAATCAAACCACCTACCCATAATTAACGCAACGATGAATAGAAGGAAACAAAAATTTTTTTCAGATATTTCTTATAGTCAAATTGAGATCGAAATTTTATTGGTTGAACATAGATGTAAAATGATTGGCTGGGTGCCACTTGACTTCCGTGAAAACAAAAACTGGAAATGCGTTAAAGAATCGCATTGTAAAACTTCGAATCATTCATATTTGTCAAGAAACAAGATGCAGTATGATTCTCCTTTGGATCCGGACGCGACTCAAGATTACTTCACGCAAAATCCTTCTTACACGTCGGTACGTTTCTTATTCTAGCAATTTACTTCGATAGCCAACTAATTTCTAATTAATCTAATGAAATACCACCGGTCATAGATTTCTTACAATCAAAACACACCAATGGAAACGTCCAATTATAACTCCTATACTCCGGGCATTTCAACCGAAGCGCGAAACTTTCACACTTTTGTTCCTACCACACCGATGGAAATGAGTAATTTCAATCCTTTTTCGCACACCACGCCCTTCGATTCGAATGAGCTGCTCAGGGCCTTACAGAAAAAAGGTTATTTTTTCAGATTTTAAGAACTGAACCATTAAAATAAACTGTGACCCATACGTTCTGCTAATTAAATGCGCATAAATGCAAATGTCTGCGAAATTGGTTATTAATAGATTCTCTTCTCTCGATTGACACATCCTATAGACGCGATTTTCGAACCAAATGTCATTGACT